ATTGTATACGTTAGAACCAAACGAAAATTACCATGTGGGCACATATAAAATGTCTAAAAAATAATTTCAATAATTATAGTGATATTATTCGTCTGAAGCACGTGATATCCCTTGTATCTAGTCATTTCGTACCATTGCCATTTGGTACGCAAAATTACCATTTCGTACCATGAATTTGTCATTTCGTACCATGAATATAAACCATTTCGTACCATAAGAACCATTTCGTACCATAAGAAACATTTCGTACCATATGGAAAAAATGCTTTACCATTTTGTACCATATGGAAAAAATGCCTTATGTGTAATACCACCATTGATTTTCTCATATTAGTCTTTGTTAAATTTGCACTTTTCAAAAAATTGTGAAGAATTTATCTTTGTTTCAAATAAAGAAATACTTGGCATGAGTAAAGTTTTATCCAGTCCAGTACTTTGGACAAAATTTCACATAACATTTCATTGCATATAAGAAAATAACCATCACTGGAAGTTAACCAATCAAATTTTCACCCCTTTTCTTCCTTTGTACAAGCTTTAGTAAGTTTCCAAAATATTCTATAGAAACACCAAATAAAAAAATGGTGCTTTGAAACACCCAAGATATATCTTCATGACTCAGAAATTTTTTACTGCAATGAAATGTAGGATTAATTTCTTGCAACTGTCAAATTCAAGGGAATATTTTTTTTCGACCCTTTTTCGTAATAGGTATAAAACCACTAATTCATAGCCCCATTGCTTTCTATGTTAAATTCTGCAATTTCAAGCATAAATGGCTACTTTGTCTTAAGTTCAAATAAAGTGGCAGTTATTTCATGTCAAAACTGTACCTTATGCTGACTTGTGCTGAAAAAATCAACAATTGCATATTAGAGCGTATTGGTTCTGATCTGAACAACAGGCCAAATGAGCCCTCCTATTAAAATTTCATATACTTCTTTATTATTTAAATAAAACTTTCAACACGGGTTCTACAGTGATCATAAGTCCCCAACCTTTCATTTGATACTAAAACTACCCAAATATTCCAACTATTGACAAAGTAACAGCTATGCGTATTTTGTTTAAAATATGTACTACTTTCTTGTATGTTCTTTCCGACCGGGCCTGAATTAGTGGTTCTATACCTGCAACCAGATGTGACGTAGTATGATTTGGTGGTATTACACCTTTACCATTTTGTACCGTAATGAAAAAAAATGCTTTATCATTTGCAATTAAAGGACTAATCATTAGTTTAATTTGAGTGCCTTTTAGGTATACAATTTAGTGCAGTTAAAATACTTATCCCTTTTTTATTTTGAGTACAGTCCATGTGCAGTTTCAATTTAGTACAATTTGTTATTGATCTTTCAATTGTTATTGTTATGTATATATGTACAAAAATAAATAATGAAATAAAATCTGTTTCTTTATTTTAATTGATATTCCTTGTTTGCGGTTACGAGAGTTATCGTTCGTTGTCGGAGTTGTCTTTCTTGTTATCAGGTGTCCAACCATTTCCGGAATTAAGACAATGGGGAAACCTAATATTGTGCTATTAAAGACTGTCACAATAAGTCCGGAGACAAAGGGAGATTTGATAGAACTGTTAAACTTCATAGACTACCAAAAGAAGGAATCGTACGATCGGCGTGTCTACGTGCAATTAGTTGGAAAGACTTTAAACCATCAACATACACCTCAGTGTGTTCAGATCATTTTCCGAGAGGAGAAGGACGTACAACCCTTCATCAAGTACCAAGTCTTCACCTCCCACAAAAATTAGTCATAGAAGGCAAATCTAGGAACACAAAAAACAGTCTAGGATCCACCAGTTTTTCGGAAACCGAGTCAATGTTGCAACCATCCATTTCAAATTCCGACCAGCCTAAGCCTTGTTGTTCTATAGATGTGATTGAGCAAAACCATTCGTAAGTTGTAAATAACATAAAACGGTTCCTATTTTATTGCACCAGATGCATATTTCAACAAATAATGTCTCTTCAGTGATGCTCGAGACCAAAATATTTAAAAACAAAATAGTTAAGCACCTCCGGGTGCAGGATTTTCTCGCTTCATTGACGACCTATTGGTGGCCTTCGGCTGTTTTCTGCTCTTTGGTCGGGTTATTGTCTCTTTGACATATTTCCTATTTCCAATCTCAATTTTGATAATATTTAAAATGTTGAATATCAAATCAAATCAAAGCAAGTAAAAAAAGTCATAGCATTACCTTATTTTTCTTTAAATCAAAATTTATTTGTTCAAAATTGGTGGTTGACATTATTGGCTGTGAACTGTTTTTCTATGTTCCTAATCTCAAAATGTAGAGTTACATGGGGTAACATGGCACTTATACAACATCTTGTTATTTATAATTATATTACTGTGAACCTTTTTGTACAAAACCTATCAAATGACCCATCGTTACGCATCAATCAATGTTATACATGTCCATGCATCCACTTAAACACAAAATAACCAAAGTCCTTGATGCATAAAATGTGGGTCAAAAGTGACCTTATTTATAGTGCACCATTGCACTAGTCTACCCAAGAGTGATCCACTGGTACAAAATCACTGTTTATATAATACAATAAATGTACATCTAGTGAATGTGATATCCACCTGAACATACAATTCAACCAATTTGCATTGAATGTAAATGTATGTCAAAATGACCTTATTGATAGTGAATCATAGTACACTGTTTCTTTATCATTGCAAGACCATTTCTTGTAACTGAGATATCCACATAAAGATACAATTTTAACAAATTTAGGACATACACGTACACCATATACGTTTTGTACATTGCATTTTGTACATTGTACATGTAGACAAACAAGGGTCAATCTATGCACCCTCTTCCTGATAGGGGATTAAAATCAATTGAACAAAAATATGTCTACATATCACATAAACATATGGGTTCATCCATATTCTTGTTTATATCCACTTTAATAAATTGTATTGAATATTTCAGGTACTCAAAAACTCCAGTGAGGCAGACACTTTGTAAATCTGGAACAGAAAGTGAAAATATGCCATTATCAACAACTTCATGTACACATTATGACCAAATAACTCAAACCCATACACCAACTGCTGAATTATCAGTTCAGGTCACAAGACCAGAAATTATAATAGATGACATAGCTTCATCAGATGAGGAGGTATTGTTTTATACAGGTTTACCATGCTACCAGGCATTTATAGCTTTTTTTTGATACTCTCATAGCTGCAGGGGCTAATCGAATGAATGTAGATGATGAAATAATGATGCAAGAAAAGTCTTATAGGAAGTTACGGTTGATTGATGAGTTTTTCATGGTAATGGTGAGACTTCGTTTAGGTTTATTGTTAAATGATTTGCAATATAGGTTTAAGATTTCAATAGGAGGAGTTTCCAGAATTTTTAATTCATGGATAAGCCTAATGGCAACATGCCTTAAAACAATTGTGTTCTTGCCGCCTCTTCAAACACTTCAACAGAAAGTACCTGATTGCTTTAAAAACTTTAGTGACACAAGAATTGTTCTCGACTGTACACAAATATTTATAGAAACTCCATCAGCATTAGAAAATAAATCACTGACTTATTATAGCTATAAATTCCAAAATACTTTTAAAGCACTAGTAGGTGTAAGCATGACAGGAGCTGTTGTTTTCTTATCAATTTTATGGGGCGGCTCAGCATCTGATGTTCATATTACAAAAAACAAGGGTTTCATTCACATACAGTTAGATTTTTAAAAAAGGAGTTAAATTGTATTGTCCGCCATTTATGTCCTCTAAAAGGAATCAGTTTTCGAAATCTGAAGTTGAATGAACAAGGAGGAAAGCATCTGCCAGAATTCATGTGGAAAGAAAAATGGAACAGATCAAGAACTTTCGCATCTTACAAGGAATATTACCCATCAGTTTGAGTTCAAAGTCAGATGCCATATTTTTTTGTGTGTTCTGCTTTTACTGTTTTATTGCCTCCACTTGTGAAGTGATTGCATGCCATAGTAATTGAATAATGTTATGCCAATTTTACAAGCACTTGCTTTTTATAATGCCTTTATTCATTGTTGAAGGCGTTCTCTTAATGAGATTTTGTATTTAAGTGTTTTGGGATCATTTTCTCATGCAATATATTTAAATAAATGAAGCCTGTGGTAAATGTATATGAGACAATGTCTCAACAATATGTCATGGTAAAAATAGATAAAAGAAAAGGATTACAATGCTATTTGTTGTTCCTCATCTTAATTTAACAATTATTCAAGATGTGGTATGAGTACAATGAGACAACTTTCTATTGAAAACACAATGTCGTTTATGTAAGCAATTATAGGTCACAGTACGGCCTTCAACGACGCGAAACCTTGGCTCACTCCTAACAGGAAGCTATAAACTGCCCTAAAAATGACCAGTGTGAAACAATTAAAATGGGAAAATCAACAGCCTAATTTATGTAAAATATAACAGCAACTGAACAACAGGCTTCGACTTAGAACAGGTACAAGATGCAGCAGGGTTTCATATTTTTAAATCTAATACCAATCTTCTCCCTAACCTGAGACAGGAGTGAACATAATGGACACACTATAAAGATTAAAGGAAAAAGGCTTCTCATTTGATGGACACAATGTAAACCAAAAAAAACAAAAACAAAATAAGTTATATCCATGACTGTATTGACACAATAAGTAAGACTTTATCAATTAGCAAATAACTGCTACATGTAGGCCTTTTCTGTATATAAAAAGATTTGTTGGATTGTAAACATTTATTCCGGGATCCATATCACAATGTTTTCCATGTAAACAATTGACCAGAAGTGACATCAGTGTTCATTGTTGAAGACTACTAGGTGTACTTTAAATGATATTGTGTATTTTGCTGTGTTGTTGGATTATTGTGGCGGTCTCGTGGTTAATCATACACGTCTCAGTTTTTCCAATAGACAAATGACAAAATGTGCATGATACCTGAAGGAAAAATTTAGTTTGGTTTCATTTCAGAAAAAAAAGGGTTTGGAATAGATGATTGATTGACTGACTGAATGGGATTGCATGCCTCTTTCGGCAGTGGTCAGTTTTACCGGTGTACTTTATAACTTTATTGTAAGTATACCAACACTGCATTGGAATGGGAATATACAAAGCAAATAATAATAAAGGCTAAAAATGTCAGAAAATAATTTTTTATGTCATTTACTGACAAAACACAACATTTTCATATAATTCAATGTAACAAAAGATGTAAAAATATAAAATTTCAACAAACATGACAAACAACAATGATAATATGAATACTAGTATTAACAAGAAAAAATGCAGGACTGATATATTCACACTTGTATCTATAAAATATGTAAACAAAATAGCAAAAAGCACCTAAACATTACTTAGGGAGCAACCATTTAACTTTAAGGGAGAGTTATGGTTTTTTGTTTGAGTCAGAATTTTTTTTTTGCGCAAATCGCGAACAAATTTTTTTATTTTTAGTTTTTCGACGCTATCAATCAAACTATTTTATTTCAAAATTTAACACTATAAGGTATGGGAAAATCTGGATTCAGAATATTTGTTTTTGTCATCTGCTTGACCACAAAATATTTTTTTATCAAATTGGGGATCAGAACATTTTTTTTAGGAAAAACCATAACCCCCCCCCCCCCTGAAGTTAAATGGTCGTTCCCGTAACCTGAGATCATAAACATGACTAGTTATACTTTAGGGGATTCTTTTTAAGGATTTTAAAAAAAATGAGATGGTGCAATAAAACCCTTATTTGGCCCAAATATTAGTACAAATTTAAAAGTTACAATACATAATCTTTACTTTGTCAAAACTACACTAAGGTACAGGGTGTTCAGAAAATAAAAAACAAATTTCACATTTAACGAGTTACCATGGCAACACACTATAACAAAATGTGTATACTTTGTAAAATATTTTGATTTTCCTTGTTTTACGTCAACTTTGAAGTGGAATGAAATAGAGTTTAAATGAAGGCAAAACCAATGATGTTAAAAAAATGAGGAATTTATATTGTATTGACAAGAGATGTGTTTTCCAGACCTTACCTTCATTTTATCAAACATTATATATGTATATATATATATATGTGTATTTCCTAGAAATTATTTCTTTAAAAATTCATGTCATTATGATATTCTGCGATAACTCAAAATGGAAAGACTGTCATGACTTATGAAAAATAAGGCCAAATAAAATTGTATTTAGATTGTCATCCTTCTACCACTAGAAATATAAGGGAGAGTAAGGAAAACATACAGCTGGTTTCTTAAATGAAAGATTAATGTGCAATTGTTTTAAAATGGAAACTAAATTATCATTTTGCCACTCAGAAAACAGGAGAGGGAGGGGATGAGGAAATAAAAATTAAATTTTATTTAGCCGTACTACATGTTACTTGTTATATTACTAGAAATGTCACTCAAATCAATCATCAACACACTCATGACTCTCATATTTACAAATTCCCATTTGTCCTTGTATTTGGGAAAAAATACTTGTGTGAATTTTTCAATTGTATATTGTTTTGTTCGTCAATTTCACAGAAAAAGTCTTTGCTCAAACATGCCTCTCTGATTGTTTTCATTCTCCATTTCCATGGACATTTGATCTCAAGTACACATTTTTGTTCACCAAACTTTGTGCAATTTTTAACAAGTCCATTAGGACTATCACCAAGAAATATAAATGTGTCACATAAGAATATACCACATTATTTCACAAAAATCTTTTCACCATATTTTAATCTCCTGTGAACAATATATTTCTTTCTTGCTATGGGTTCATGTTTTCTTCCCCAAATTAATGGTGCCACATTGATTAGCTTATCCGGCTTAGAAAAAGATTGCATTAACTTTTCAACATATGCCTTCTTGCAAGCAACAATCTGATGAAAATTTGAACTTGTTATTCTGAATTCTCTTGTTTCAAACCAAAGTGGATTTTCAGACTGACCTACTGTTATGTTTTCTATTTCATCAATTACAATTTGGGGAATATTCCCAAATTTGTCAAGCAGTATGGTTTCATTCATTGGTGGTTCTTTTTGAACAATCGACATAATGTCTATGTAGTTGTCAGATTCATAGTGTAAATATTCGGATGTTTCAACTTCTTCAAAATTAATTACATTTATGTCACTATTAATGTCATAAACTTCATAACTTGGGGCAACTAAATAAAAAAATGCTGGAGTATAATTCAAATTTCCTAATTTAGCTGTTAATAATGATAAAAAATCCTGACTTTAGTCAGTAATGGAATTTTCACAGTAAATTTATTTTTCTTTTCTTTTACACAAGGTTCATTTCCACCATATTTCAACTTTTTGAAAGACATGTTTAGTACTTCTTGTGGATCCCTTAAAGAGTTATGACCAATAGAAATAGGCAAACAATTTCCACAGGAAAAATAATCAATGTTTCATGTACATGTATCTCACAAGTTGATGAAAACATTCATGCGAAATTTGCATAATGTAAAGTGAAATTGTTGAACAAAAATATAGTCTGACCATTGATCTCAACTCATTTCTGTTAACCAAGCACGAGAATGCTTACTATTACTTGAGTGACCCCTTAAAATGCACCGACCCCCTCAGCTGATAAATAATGACTGTTCCCTAACATTGGTTAATCAAGTCACTTACATGTATTACATTTACATACTTCTTTTATATTTTTCATAAATTTATCTGTTCATATTTGACTTCATTTCGTCAGTGTAAACTTGACACTATAATCACTCTGGTAATGTCACTTTGGTTTGAGTGTAATTTTGTGTTTGGCCTGTCAGTGTCACCTGTTTACTATATATTTTTAAAAGGAAATTTGAAGTTTAGGTATGGAGACAGGGATAGTTTAATAAAAAGAAAGCCTTATTGTCATTATTGTGTAACTGTTGAAAACTTATAATGAAAGTGTTAAAATAAAAAAATATATCCATGCATACCCATCTGGACAACTACAATTGGCTTTGAAAACTACAACAGGTGTTTTCTTTGAAATTAAAATCCATTGTTTATATGGTCCCTGTTGTTTCATGGAAGGATAACACTTTGATCTAATGTAACAACTTTCACACTCATCGTCTATACTGTTAATCATTAAGTAATGGACATAGTTCACTTTAAAAAAGTTATATCCACGGATGAACTGGCGATAACATAACATTTGCTCATTGCCGCCAGTTCTGTGACTGCTGTAGATGAGAAAAGATTCTGCATCTTGGTGGGAAACAAGTGGCAGCAAAGCCAGATCACTAGTCCAGCCAGAGTTAAGTTCATTATAAAGGGGAATATCAACATTGTCATTATTGTTAGAGTGTTGAGAAACAAGAACTGACGACAGAGACGCAGTCAAACCATTGTTGGTTTGATTAGTTTCAAAGGCTCTTCGTGCAAGTTCGTCCTTGTTCCCAGATATATTTGCACCGCTTGATCGAAGGAATAATATTAAATCACTTTTTTTCAAAGTTAAAAAGTCCTCGACAGTAGTTTTTTTCATTTATATCTGCTATTTTCATTAGTTTACTGATTCTTTACACATGTTACAGAAGAGAAGGAAGTGATGCACCTTCACGCAAGAATGATAACTCCGATTACGACCGATAACTCTGTATATCGAAAGTCGGGAATTCATGAAATAAATGAATAAAAGAACATGTGAAGTATACACCATTTAGACAGTAATTACATCCAATCAATCATATGACAAAGAATAGGGTATCGAAAGTTTGAACTAAATTCGGGTTCTTTTCTCATCTCAAATCAAGGAATTTCCTGTACACACATTCTATCAAATGGTAGGCAATTGAACATAGGAAAACTTACCTTCAGAACTAAATTGTGAATACATATAAAGATAGCATACACGGGTACGAAATGGTAAACATTATAATCTCCCATATGGTACGAGAATTGTAAACATTATAATCTTCCATATGGTAGGAAAAGGTATACATTATAATCTTCCATATGGTACGAAATGATCATGTTACCAAATGGTTATGGTACGAAATGGTTTTTGTTATGGTACGAAATGGGTGGTACGAAATGGTTATGGTAAGAAATAACTATGATTCATATCCCTTATGTTTTTTTTGTAATGTTTTGTGCATTAACCCAGGAATTGTTTTTTCTAGTGTTTGTTAAAGTTACTTAAGCATTTTTCACGCTTAAGGAGGGTTTTTTTACATTCAACGTGAGAGATTGAGATACTTGTGTAGCACTTCGGACGCATGAAATGTATAACGTGTTGCTTCATATTTTACAGCACTTGGTCGATACCTCTGCTGGTGGACTACCAGTCCCCGAGGGTATCATCAGCTCAGTAGTCAGTACTTCGGTACTGACATGCTTTATAACAAACCTTTCTTAAATGGTCCGTTAATAAATTTTGAAATTATATGAAACTAAGGTTTCAGCTCCCTCAAATTGACCATAGATAAATTTGGCTATTTATAGCTTTTCAACTGTTTAGATTATTATACATTCTTTGCTTTCAAAAATTCGGCTTTGCGCGTTCCTGGTGAAGGCAATACAGACAAATGCTTCGGACGCATGACATTTATAACGTGTTGTTTTCGTTTTTTGTGTTATTGACGTCATACAACTATTACTAGTACACTGTGGCATCATATATTTTCTCTTGTGACGTAAAATTTTTCGAGAAAGTATGGATTTTAAGTAATCGCAGACAAAAAACCGTGAGATGTATTGTTAAGGTATCTGATGAAATAAAAGCCTAAGATTATATGTTTTAATTTCACAAAGGGTGTTAAACGACAAGAAAATGTTGAACCTCAATAAAAATGTAAATTTTCATTGTATGTTTGTTTTACTTTTTTCGTTTAGTTTTCAAGACAAATAGATGAGGCTGAATGAAGTTAAGTAAGGGAAGGAGCTAGGAGGCATTCTATTGGACTTTTGGGACATCACATTTATCCTAGAGAATATCACATATAACCTGTTGGAAGAGTAACAATGCCTGTAAATCGATTATCACCAGTCTATGATACAGTTGACAGAAATAGTAGGGTTCATGCTGCACAAATTAATGTTTTAAAATATTTAATTTCCCTTACTGTTTTTAGTATTGTACCATTTTTGGTTTATCACGATTTCAATTCAATAGAAGACTTGAACTTAGCAATAATTTTTTGTCAGATCATATCAGTGTCCTTTTCAATGTTGGTACCAGTGAAAATGAAATTAATTTTTTGTTACATATTACCAATTGTTATTGTTCCGTTTGAATTTGAATACTTAAAAACTGAAAACTTAAAGGCGTCTTATTTTGGCAAAACCTGTGATCACTACAAAGACTTTACACTTTTACTTTTGCCAATGTTTTCGTCACTCAGTGTATATTATGCGTGGTATGTAGTTAGATTTCTTTTAATTCTATTTCAAAAATGGTCATTTTATCGTAAGAAAATAAGCATTGTTGGATATGTGGTTTTGTTTTTTGTAAATGCAGTGATCCTTTCTTATTTTCTATATTTAGTAACTTTTTACATTTTCCCTGGATACTTATCTTTCCTTGTACGCTCCGACGTGGATAATTTCACAATATCTGTAGAGGTTTCGGATATTTTCCGGACAAATGATTATGTTTTGAAACCTCTACAACCTTTTGAAAGAACTCTTTCCTGGAAAATAAACCATGAAGATAGCAGCCATACTTGGACATCTACAGGATGTGATGCAACATTCGATGGGGATAAACTTCCAGTATGTAGAGGCATTTATTATAGAGTTGAGGGTGAAGATGTTGACATCATCTGTCAAATTAATAACACTAATGGACTAGTTAAAGTGAATGAGGGATACGAAACTAACTTCATAAGTTTTTTGGTCTTTAATCATTTCGAATGGAATCTTGGTAAAGGCTTACCGACTAGTTCGGTGAATGCATCCGCCAAAATAAAATCTATCAATATATCAGAACTGACACTTCAAATCATTGACTTAACAGCTGAGAATTTTAACCATGAAATAACTTTGTGGGGACTTTTTAAAAAAAGCACAGACGGAATATTAAAAGTAAAGTTCGGATCATTCATTTTAAAAAAGCAAAAGAAAATATTTAAGTATATTCATGTACCTCAAGGGCATATTGTATCTTTAACTGCAATTCCATTTTATAGTCTTTGGGACAATTTTGATCATTTGGTATTCCATAATATATCAAGGTTTGCAGAGGAGGATATAACCGGTGATAATAAAGCCACATGTTCTGACATTGACAAGGGCTGCGGACCGATGATACACGCGTTGTTTAATATAAGTAAGATAGAAAATATATTCAATGAAAACACGTTTTCTAATGACATTACGTTAAATTCTATCTACGTTTCTACTCGTCTAAACGAAAGTGGGAAACACACTGCAAAGTCATACACATGCGTCTGCGAAAATAGTTATGGCCAACATACCTATAGTATTCTGAGGAACCACTATAACGCTTCAAGCAAAAAGTCATATATGTCTGAGATTAAATTACCATATACGTTTGTCATCCTACCAAGGGGACTCACGCATTATGCGGCGAATAAGTATAAAGAATTACAAAAATATGTCAGAAAAGCAATAAATGAAGAGAACAATAACTGGAAAGATCCTTGGAAATATTTTGCCGATGATCTACGTTTTTATAATGGCATTAATAACCAATTGCAAAAAGTCATTATATTGATAATTTTGATTGAAATTCCTATGATTATAGGGATTTTGATCAAAGTTTACTGCATCGTTTGTGTCCATCATTTGGATAAGACAATATTAAAACCGAAATCCCCCCTTGTGATTTGCGCCGAATTGCATACATGTATTTCTCAGACGAATATTGGTAACTTTGTTGTTGATGAAAACGTTACACATGACATTATGATTATCGCCAGTGATAATAACTATGATTTTGTTGTAAAAAATCTATTTCCTTTCTTCAAGAATCTAGGACTTTCCGTTCTATTTCCACAAACTGATATTAATGGCGGACAATCCAACATTAATGGCTATTCTCAAGCTGTTGTTTCGTCAGTTATGTATGCGGTTGTCGCAACTACGGAATTTGAAAATGATCCATGGAGTAATAATTTTATTTTGTCTGATTTAATTCTACCCCAGATGTATGAGCAACGACGAAACCATCACAGAATCTTGATAATAAAATTCAACGATGTGAACATCCCACGCCCACTTAGATGGAATGAATACGTTACGATAGCTGATTGGTCAACCAGACAAAGTGATGAGGATAATTTAAGAACATTGAGAAACAAATTTAAATTAATGACTGAAGCTCTTTTAATGACTGAAAATAATGTATGAATATGGAACTCCAAAACTATCTTAGTATGTATATTTTCATTATATGATGTGCTTTTGCCTTTATATGATGTGCTTTTACCTTTGTTTGACGTGCACTTGTTTTTATATGGTATCCAGTTGAAAAATATCCTTATATGATGTGCAAATATTCTTATATGATGTCAAAAATACTTATAAGATTCCGAATATACTTCAAAAATACTTATATGATGTGCAAAGATCCTTATATGAAGTGCAAATGTACTTATATCAAGGTCAAATATCCTTATATGTGTAAATATACTTATATGATGTGCAAATATACTTATATGATGTGCAAATATCCTTATATGATGTGCAAATATATTTATATGAAATTAAAATATTCTTATATGATGGGCATTTTCCTTGATATCATGTGAAAACATTCTAGTATGTGCTTGTAACGTGTTATGTGGTTTTTATATATGATATGCACTTGTCTTTATATGATGTGCATACACCTTTACATGGTGTACAGTTAATATTATATGATGTGCAAATATCCTGATATGATGTGCAAATGTACTTATATAATGAGCAAATATCCTTATATGATATGTAAGTATACGTATATGGTGTGCATAGCTCCTTAAATGATGTGCAAATATACTTATATAGCCGACTATACGGTATGGGTTTTTCTCATTGTTGAAGGACGTACGTTGCCTATAATTGCTAACATCCACTCTATTTGAACTTTAATGGATAGTTGTCTCATTGGCAATCATACCTCATCTCCTTATTTTTATATGCAAATATACTTTAGATGTGCAAATGTTTTTATATGATGTGCATTTTCCCTTATATTATGTGCAAACATCTTTATATGATGTGGTTGTGTCAATATATTACGTGCTTGTAACATTATATGATGTGGTTCGATTTATTTCATTATGATGTCAAAACATCCTTATATGATGTGCTTTCATTGTTGTTATAGTCAATAAACATGATTACGATTAAAACGATTACTGTCTACGTCAAAACTGGTTCCAATCTGATTCTCCGGAATTACTATCAACCATGCTAATATCTGTAGCTATCGTTTTGTTCCGATTTTAAAAGAGATAAACCTAGGCACGTTGGAACTTCGTTTTAAAAATTAGAAATTCACTCCTGATATTGTTGGACAACTGTCAAAATATGAATTGCAAAGTTTAGGTTTAATCGAAGGGTCTACAATAATGAACATACCGTCAAAGTGATTAAATTGTGGGTCCTCGTCTTTGTACTGAGCACCTGGAGTTCATGGAGGGAAGGAGGGGCATTTATATTTTTTTTAATTGTTTGTTTCCAAATTTCTTGACAAGACATTATTTATTTCAGAAGGGAAGCGAGATAATAGTGTGTTTCTGAAAATGAGGGGAAAATAAAACAACAATGAAATAAAAAAAATAATCTTGTTATTGAAAAGAAAAGTTTATTTTCTATCAAAGTCGAAAAAAATATTCGTCCTGAGCCCAAAAAAGATGCTCCCGCCCACAAAAGATGAATAGTCGGTGTCTTACTGAACATAAAAAATTGCATTCATTTATTATTTACGGAGCCCTGTTGGTCTCATACAGATAGAAAGTTGAGTTATTTTTTTCTTTAAAGTGAAGCACTAAACAGGGGCTTATTTAGGCAGGGGCTTGGCGGGCGTGCGCCCCCCTAAAATTTGCAAAGCATGGGTTGTCTTCATCTTAATAAAGAATATTTCGATAATTTTACCTCCGCTCAGCGAAAATTTAAGTTCCCCCCCTCCCCTTACCTAAAATCCTGGATCCGCCCCTGCTAGAGATGTGAAGTCTAGCGCTCCAGATGTTAAGTCCAGCGCTGTAGATATAATGTCCAGCATGGTAAATTTAAATCTAGTTCCGATTAGTTGAAAATAATACCACCAGAGTCATTCTTAAAATTTGACCGGTCAGTTTAAAACTAGAGGCTCTAAAGAGCCTGTGCCGCTCACCTAGGTCAATGTGCATCTTTAACTATGGGCTTTCCTCCACATTATTCACTACATTTGGGGCCTTTTATAGTTTATTATGCGGTATGGGTTTTGCTCATTGTTGAAGGCCGTACGGTGAACTATAGTTGTTAACTTCTATGTCATTTGGTCTGTGGTGGAGAGGTGTCACATTGGCAACTCTACCACATATTCGTATTTTTATATAGAATAGAATTCATGAAAAAAAACTCTTTTTTTTTTATCTTTTATTGCTGAAACAAGACGAAAAAGGTAAACAATCGTCTTTTATTGGTAATCACTCTTATACAGATTCTACGTTTCAATTGATATTTTATAGTGTGTCTTCCTATGTTGTGATGTTACTCTATTGTTTCAGGTTAGGGTGAAGGTTGGCGCCTGTTAAAACGTTTAAACCCGCTGCATTTGTTTGCACCTGTCTTAAGTCAGGAACCTGTTGTTCAATGCTTGTCTTTTGTTGATGTGGTTCATAAGTTTCTCGTTTCTCGTTTTTTATATAGATTAGACCATTGGTTTTCCTGTTTGAATGGTTTTACACTAGTTAATTTTTTGGGCCCTTTATAGTTTACTGTTCGGTGTGAGCCAAGGCTCCGTGTTGAAGGCCGTACTTTGACCTATAATGGTTTACTTTTACAAATTGTGACTTGGATGGAGAGTTGTCTCTTTGGCACTCATACCACATCTTCTTATATCTATCTACGAACGATTTCGGCAAAATTATACTTATTTATAAATCTCGCTTGCTGATCAATTTTGATATTTAAAATATTATTTATCTACTATACTGTAAGATAATAGTCAAAGTTGAAAAAAAGAAAAATTCGTTTTTAAAGGGAAATAACTCCTATAAGAATTCGTTTTATGTGAAAAGACAATATGTAAATCTTCTTGTCTTGACGTTTCTGCCCCTGTCAGATTTTCTCTAGTCATAGCAGTTTTTTGTCGGTCATGTTGGTTAGCAGGTGAGGTCATCGGACATATTTTCAAACTAGATCTCCCAATTGTGATTGTGGCTTAGTTTGGTTAAATTCGGTTTCAGAAAAGAAGATTTTTGTAAAAGCATAACAGACGACGACAGTCTTTTACCAGGTTTAAACCAGGTCTAATCCACCATTTTCTATGTATGAAAATTCCTGTACCAAATCAGGAATGTGACAGTTGTTGTCCATTCGTTTGATGTGTTTGAGCTCTAGATTTTGCCATTTGATTAGGGACTTTTCGTTTTGAATTTTCCTCGGAGTTCGGTATTTTTGTTATTTTACTTTTTTTGTAGATGAAACGCGCATCTGGCGTACAAAATTTCAACCCTTGTATCTATGATGAGCTTATTGACGGACGACGGACACCAAATGATAAGAAAAGCTCACCTGACTCAAATGATCAAGTGAACTTTTCTCGTCATTTGGTGTCCGTGGTCCGTCAAAAAGCTCATCACAGATAAAAATCCTGTTCACTGAAACTACAAAGCAATATGTTTGGAAACTCTACATGATTGATGATAAGGATACCCATTTCAACGATTACCATTTACTATTGATAGGTTGCAAATAGTAGTCACAGTGGCACATAGTTTCCATTGAAATGCAACGGGATATAGTATTATTAAACCACTTTTCCATTAAAAAAAATGTTCTAAATGTCAAGATCTATACCTACATGTACTTCCGATTTCCGCCAAATTTTATTCATGCCATGAATCCTTGTAGGAGTAATTGGCTTTAAATAATTGTTTTTGGGTAGAACAGTTGAAATGGTAACCAATACACGATCTACAGCATTACCCAAATATATAGCCCTAGCTTTTCATATTGATTTTGGATAAAGACTCGAGTATCCCATTTTGAATTTTTAAAAACATTTATACGGGTAAAAATAATGTTTTGTAAATATTTGTCCCTCCAAGCATACCAAAATTGTGAACCCTTGAAATTAAAAAAACATTTTTCTCGAAAAAGGTTCAGTATGGGGAGACTCACTTTGCAGCAGCGGCAGCGGCTTTTAATCTTTTATGCCTTTATCTTGAAAACTACAAAAAAAGTAAAATAACAAAAATACTGAACTCCAAGGAAAATTCGAAAAGGAAAGTCCCTTATCAAATGGCAAAATCAAAAGCTCAAATACATCAAACGAATGGAAAACAACTGTCATATTTCTGAATTGGTACGGGCATAAAGAATAAAAAAAGAGTGTAATGATAACAGTCTGAATATGCGCTGTAGTGAGAGTCCAATTTTGGCAATTTGTGCTCTTATGAGTTTTGTTGTTTTATTAAAACAAATTAATGTCTTTCGAGCCAAAACATTACATCATTTGTTACTCTAGGGGGAGCTTAGGGTGTGGGCACCTGATTACGCCTTATCAGGTCATAAAGGAAAATTATTCATCTAAAGACATGTTAAAAATGTCAAACCTCACTCCCAGATATTATCTTAAACCATTGATAAATATGATCAATCATGTGCTTTACGGTTAATCATGTAAGGAAACAGCTATTAATATTATAAGTGTTTTTTGTTTACTATATAAAAAGGAGTATAATCATAAAAGCTTCGAAAAAAACCTGCAAAAACTTAGACTAAACCATTAATCTCTGATATTGTCGTTCTTCGTGTCAAAAAAACAAAAACAAACAGAAGATGGTCACGACATACACGAAACAAATATGGAATTAAAGATTGAAGCCAAAAATGGAGACAAAAGAGATAGATATGTCACTCGAATCAAGTGTTAAATAATCAGATACTGATTTAGTGTATTCACCAAATAAGCTATAATATTTGCATGCTTGAAATACAAAATCGCTTAAATTTTGTAAACAAATTTTGATGTCCCCATTTGAAGTATTAAAATACTCCCTTTTAATTCTCAACAATGTTCAAGCCCCCCGTTAAGTTACTCCCCACCCCCAATTCCGGTTACAAAATGACCGGTCCCTCACATGAGTTATTGCCCTTCCAATGTGTTTTTTTTCTAACATCTTCAGAAAAGTAATATATAAAGAGAAATTTAAACAGCTAAAATGATGATCAGCAAAGGCAAAATAACAAAAAGTTACATACTTGAAATTTTTGTTTCAACTTCTTATATAAGAAAGTGCCTATAAATAAAAGAGACATTGTCAATGTAAACAGACTATTATTTTGACTTCCCTTCTAAATCAAGAAATGTCTTTTTAATAAATTTGTAAACACACATTTAAAAAAAAACATGCCCCTCCGCTCCC